GAGGCAAAGAATGTGAAGGCTCCTAACTGAGCGTCTTTGAGCGGTTTCATCCTGTCACTGACTTAAAGGACAAAATATGTTAAGAGGAAAATAGTTATCACACCTGATTAATACTTTAACCAACCCTCTGATGTGAGTTTTACACAAAACGTAACATTCTATGCGGTATTCCATTCAGAGTTAATTACACCATTCAACTTTACTTTAAAAGCAAATAATTGCAAATGCTTTATAGAGAACTCCCTACGAATGTTACCGGCATCTGAGAAAAGTTTAGGCTTTAGTGTGAGCTGTCAATCAACGTCGCCAATGTAATAACATGTTTACAATATGCAGAAGAGGAACTATTCCGAGGTTGGGTCCTTTTAAATATAGGTATCTACTTTCATTCAACCCATACTTGCAGGATCTACCTACCTATATTTAATGGCAATGCAGTGCGATCATGTCGACAAACCAGTGTTATAATCAATAATACTGTTTTTTGTTTTTATTTAGTCCTTTTCTGGGCTCTCGATGCGATGTCAACAGCTGAATGAACGTGACTCGTGACGTCATATTTGCGCGACAGAAAAATTGGTTTGTCAGAGCAATTGTAACTGAAAAAGTGCACATAAAAATGCAAACTACATTCTATATGAGTTAAGGCTTGTTTTATGTTTAAGGAGATATTGTTCCATTATTACTTGACCGGACATTCTTTTCACTCGTTTAACTACATACAGGCAAATGCCACAGCCTCCATATACGTTGTTTGGATCTATAAAACATATATGACGCAAATTAAATGAGACAGATCCATCCCTGTGCTTTACAGATTCACGCAAAAGGGGTCCTGATTCGTTTCCTGTGTCTTTTGCATTAAAATACACGGGCAAGCAGCTGTCAACCCCTGTTGAAACGTGTCGGTTCTTTCCATGTGAGTTTATACATGTTTCTGTGCTGAAAGTTATTCTATTTATATATGTGTTTCATTTGATATCCACACGAATATCATGCTTTCATCGCTATATTGGCTGTATTTCAATTTTAAAAATAACTAACATTAAAGCTAGTGGCTAAATAGTGGTAGCTGGACGGGACCTTTGTGGTTTCACTGATGCAACGTGAAGTAATGTCTTATTGTATGATCTAATAGTGCAGCACGGATTTTTTCTCTTATTGTATTTTTACTGTTGCAACCTAATTTCAATTTTACTTGTACTTATTTTTTTGCATGTGCGCTAAAACTTAGGTTGCTGACCTAACAAGTCTCAAGCAAACGTTTTCACTTTCGTTCAAGTGTTCCCTTATTCAAAAGTTAAATCATCCTGTTTCACCAAAAAGTAATGCCAAATATGTTTTATACCTATAAACGTAAATTATAATATAAACGTAATTGTTTTTAAACCATCGTAAGTCACATCAACTGCATTCCATTTAATAATGTTACTTTATTGGGATGATTTTTTGTGATTTTATCTTTTTAATGAGATGAGATGAGTATGATATGTATATAATCATTTATTTATTAGATTAATCACGTACATTACAGCCTCGAACATGTGTTTTCAATTATGTAACATAATAGGGCTAATGTTCTATAGGAGTTATTTTATTTTTGTATTATTATTTTATTGTGTTCAAGCCTGCAATTAAGTGCATGTTAACTTTTATGGACATAAAATGTAAATTTAAACTTTTTGTTTTTTCTATTCTTTTTTTAAGAGCTGCTACAGGCTTTTCATTAAAGTAACCTATTAAGGAAATGTTAGTCAAAGGTCAAAGTCCATATTTCTTACTGTTGGTATTATCAGCTTCTATCCGGGTTTTGACCACAACAAATTTCTTTTCAAATATGTTGTGATTGAGTCACAATTATAATAATTCACAAATAATTGTTGTTAGTTTTTTGCCACAATTTTGCGTCCCCCTCTATGGATTTTTGCCCTTCCAAATTAATTTTATACAACTCTCAAACAGTATTAAAATTAAGTTTTTAACTACGTGATGATTTTTATTGATAATTATTATAATGTTATTTGTTTCTTTTTTTATTTGGCTTTGGTCTGTAAATAGTGGACCACATCCTAACTTAAATCATTTCAGATTTGGTTTAAATAAATAAAAAAACAAAAGTGAAACTTTTAATATTTCACGTTTATGAAAGGCCAAAATGTACATTTTCTTTATATTTTGAGAAAAAGTGCAGGTCTTTAAGATGCCTTCAGGTGGTGCTGGCATACTGCACTTTTTTTTCTCAAAGTGGCGTGGTTGACAGATAAACACATGGTATTTTTATACTGTGGTATAAAAATACCATGATGAAAATGGGGCACTAGAGAAGGAAACACGTGTCTCCTGGTCAGTCTGCTGAGAAACCACCAATATAACAGAGAAAGTTGGATTTCAGCAGATTTGGGAGATTTAAATCAAAACAGGTGTGACTGTGTTAACTATTATCTGGAAGAGCTTAAATTACAGAGATGAGGTCTAGTAATTATACAATAAACCCATCTACTTATTAGTGTAGATAAAGTGTATATGATGTATTGTGTAATTAGCCGATGTTCTGCTACTTGTTACATTCAAAGGGAAGCACAGCTTGTTGTTATATTTTTCTTTGTCATTCTCTGTGTCACATTTAGGGTATTTTTATTTGTGCTTTTAAGATATACAGGGCACACATTTAACCCCCCTCCCCCAAAAAACAATAACAAATAGGAAGATAAAAGAATGAAAATGTAAAATGAAACCTTATGACTGAGATCACAGACTGTACTCTTTTACAAATGCTGAGATGTCAAACTGGAGAGATGAAAATGAGCTAAAAATAAGGTGGTTTCACACTTCATTCCTTCTGTTGCTTCTCACATGTGTTTCTGAGACGAGACAAATCAGGCAGAGGCCTTTCCTGGCGAAAGATCATGTAGTGTGCGACCTTTCATCACTGCTCATCGTGAGTGTGAAATTGGACTGACAATCCTGGTCATATGGGACACACATTGGTCCTCGTATTCATTCAGGGTCCCGCGCGGTACATTAGGCAGTGGCGGACTTTTTTAAGGATGGGACAGCGAACAATAATAGTTACTCCCTGTTACTGTATTCTAAATAATAATAAACCTCCAGGTGTCGGGTGTCCATCGGTTAAACAGTAAAGAACATCTGAGGTCATCGCAGACCAATGATTAACACTTTATTAGCTTTAGGTGCTAAAGTCACCAGCTACTGTAGCTCTGCTGAAGTCGGCTTCATTTTATAATGTACGATCTGTGGCAAACATATTTGAATGAACTGCATCAGGATAACGTATTAACATTACTAACATTGACAGTCGTGACATCGTGCAGTGTCATTTTTCTATAATGGACATGGCTTATGTGCAGCTTCAGGCTGTTTCCAAAATCAAACAAACATCAACAGAGGAATGACTTGGCACTTTTTGTGTAATGAGTCCAAATGTATCTACGTGTCAATGTGAAAATATTATTATATCATCTGTATCCTCTGAAATATAAGTATCTCCTATTAACTCATTAAACAAGTGACATAAATAGACAGGACTACAAGTATGGGAGGGGAGCTGGGTTATACACCGCCGCTAAAAATATCCTAGGGGAAATGGCGGCATGTATTTTAAGAGTGGAATCATTTTACCCTTTAAATTGTATATTATTTTCATCTTCTTCGGAATGGAAACCTAAGCCGGTGACAAAAAGGTGTTTTTTTTCACTCTCTAATTTATCAACACAATTGCAATTTGAAATCGAAACCTCCTGAAGTCATTATGCAACCGGCCACTCTGTCGTCACAGAACCATGCTCAGAGGTTATTCAAATAGGGTCAGCCCTTTTATGGTTGCTGTAATTACTCCGCCACTGGTACTGTTTAAATCAACAGAGTTGAAAAAACAAGGCTTTGATCCTTGATTTTATCAACTCCAGCTCTTTTGTGTTTCTAATTTCCTCATCCCCCAACATTTTGTTTTCATCTCGGGCCAGCTGTTGTTTTCCAGCGCCTCCTAGTAATATGTGTAAGAATTTTCTTCCTTGTGTCTTGGCCTGCAGGAATCTTTTCGTTTACTCTTTCTTCCAAAAAGAAGTTTTTGCCAAGTTCCGTAGATAAAGGGACATTACTCTTAACCTTAACTGGTGCCCAGCTGTGCAGAGCAGCAACACACTGTATGGTCCCTTATGAACATCGGCTCTAAAATTTAAAGCACTATGTGGTGATCGTTTGATTGAAAAAATAAACAGAATGCGACTTCACCACTTGTCACTTGAAAGACCGACAGTATTCCATCTAAGGTTTTGCCTGGCCAATTTAAACCAGCTCTCTTCAAAGCCGTGTAAATCAAGGGATCAGAGAGAGAAAACACTTCTACACATGGTCTATGTTTACTGCCCTTTGGCAGTTTTGGTCTACAAAGTGACACTGTTGGTGTGATTTCACTGCAGAGCATTTAAGTACTAGGAACTCTGTCTCTCCCTCTCTATATATATATATATATATATATATATATATATGTATATATATATATACAGTATATATGTATGTATGTATATGTAAGTGTGTATTTTGCATTGTCAGCCTTCCACATTGGTCAGAAATTTCTCTGCACCTTCAGTCAATCACACTGAGTTGCAGAAAGTTTAAGGAAAATACAGAAGTAATAGCGTTGAGAGAAATATTATTATTAATGGCACGTCCAAGTCACTAAAACTTTCCAGTATGCTGTTCTGAGCTGCTAATGATTTTTTTTTTAGCGTTCCATTTTTCTCAAACTGCTTGCTTGCTCTTGGATGCAGGATTGAATTTTTCCGGAAAAAAAAACCCAAAAACCCTGCAGCATCCTTGAGGGGTCACCGCAGCGATCATCTCCCTCCGTCTCACCCTATCCTCTGCCTCCGCTACTGTTACATGATAGATCTCCATGTTTTTCTTCTTGCCTGCCAGCTCCGTCTACACAGCATCCTTTGTCCAATTTCTCCTGTATCTCTGCTCAACACACGTCCAGATCTTTGCCTTGAAATGCTGCCACGTCTGTTGTAACTGTTTTACTAACACCTCCTTACAATGGAATGCAGTCCCGTAGAAGAGCCAACACGTACCACCTTTATAGAAATTACAAAGTTGACTTTGTCTGTGGTCGGAGTGGAGGCTGCAGTTTGTGGTGTGACTGGGCTGAAACGCAAACTTTAAAGCATCACAGTCAGTGAGAATGGTGTTTTAAAAATCCCCTCTCGTGTTTTATTGTGTACTATGTCTTTTTGTGTTTAAACTACTGCATTCGACGAAACAGTGATAGTGGTCTTGTCTTCTAGGTTCTTGGCTCGTTCCCTGGTGAAGATGTCAGGCCACAATCCCCTGTTGAAGCTGGAGCAGCGAGCGGCCGAGGCCGACCAGATCATCGAATACCTCAAACAACAAGTCCAACTGCTGAAGGAGAAAAGCAGTAAGGAGGCACTCGGCAAATTACTGCCTATACATTGTAACTCTGTCAGCCAATAAAAGGCCGCTTGTAAAAGAGCTATATACATGCTGGCAGATTACATAGTTTTAAGTGCGAGTTCTTCAGGCAGACTGTCTAGACAGTATGAAAATGAATTAAATATGGTGTAAAAAAAAAGTGAGTGTGAGTACTCACTGCGGCTTATACTCCATCAAAATGTCTTAGAGCATTGATAAGCGGGTGGACTTTGGGGTTACTGGACATACAATGGGTGATGTTCTCTGTATGTGTTAAAAAATAATCTGACTAATATCACAAATGAAATATATAAAAATATATAAGAAAAACAACTCTGCTAAATTTTGTTTAACATGCAATTATGTGATATTAAAAGTTACTCAGTTCTTTTAGTCAGAACACAGGGATGTATTTCTTCTTCAGAACTCTTTGAAATGTCATCTGTCAGTTGGACCTTTGAGTTCCTGTGTGGAATTAAAGGTGAATTTGCCTCCTTTCAGTTGCCCAGGCCAGTGTTAAAGAAGAGAAGAAACTGATGTTGGAAAACGCAAAGCTGAAGACTGACATAGAAGAACTGAAAAAACTGCTGCTGGACAAGGAGAAGAGAAGGGGAGGTACGTGGAGTTTGACTCCAGGCCACGTTGGCCATTTTGTCTTCTTTTTTTACTGTTTGTCTTTTAGGAAAACCTTGATGTTGTTCATTTTTTTATTGAGTAAAGAGGGTGTGTGTGTGTGTGTCGTCACCCACATTTGATGTCATTTGTTGTTCATTAAAAATCCGTTTGGTTTTGCGCTATCAGTGGTCAGATCGAGAGTGTTTTTTCACTTGAGCTCATTATAACCAGATCTCTTTGGTTTGTACTGTAAACACCAGGTGAGCTGTAAGAATAGCAATTAGAGTGATGGAGACCTGACCTGGTCTGTCAGAAGATGTGGAAGAGATGCACATAAATACACTGACACTCAAGGGCAAACAGTTGGGAGACAGGGAGATCTGAGCTGTTTGAGGAGCTGGGAAGAAGAAAATAATTAGGAGAATATGAGAAATAAGTTTGAACTCATCTGGGAATAAATATTGTTCTTAGACCAGTGAAGAAATGTGGTTGAATGAGATAAGTATTTTCCACATATTGTATCTGATTGTTATGTTTATATGTCCTTTTGAAGCTCTATTGTGGTTTAAAATAGCTCTGTCAAAACACGAACCTTTTTTTTTTTTTATCTGATTGGCGTTAGCTGGAAAAACAAACTTATGGCTGGTTGTAGCCAGTCAGCAACATTAAACACATGGCAGAAAAAAACTCCACTGCGGTCACAAAAGAAAAAGAAAATACAACATCTCTTTGAGCTCTACACTACTTTAAAGCTACATCTCTGCTATCAGTTCCTTTAATTAAATATCTTGGTTTATATCCAAATCAGTTTGGTCGTAGCACTCCAGCAAAGATCTACTGATTCAAACATTGACTTTAAAACATAACCTACTGTGCCCTGTGTTTTGTGATTTTGTTTTTTGTCTGCACTGTTTATTGTCTTAAACCTAACCAGAACACTTAAAGTGCAGAATGTCGAGCATGCTACAGGTTATTGCCCATAATTCCAAGACAAAACCGGAAAAGCGCCTTATCACAGGTCCTAACGTAGAATTAAAGGCATTATGGTGATGGTGGTGTGCCTGCAGACTGATGTTTGTCAGACATGGGCACAATGTTTTGTAGAAACTCAAACATCAGGCGCCTCAAATGAAGGGTTAGATTTTGCTGGGGAGTTATTGTAGGACATGGGTGCCCTCTTTATGGCTCCATTTCCCTGTTTTCATCAGCTCGGACACTGTCATTTTCCCATCAGCAGTGTTTGCATTAGCAGAGCCGTCCTCCCACTGGGAGCGTAAATAAAGTTCCCTCTGTATCATTTCATTGTGTTCTGTTGATGCAACCAACTCGGTGAGTGAAGCTGCACAGCTGTATGTCATGACATAGTTTTGCAAGGCTTGTATTGGATGTGAACGCTGAGGTGTTTTTTTGCTCACATTAAAGTTTGAAAGGAAAAATGTGTTTTCCAGTAAAAACTGAAGGGGGGAAAAAAGTGACATTCAAATATCCATTTTTCTCCCCTTTCAATCTCCCACAGTGCTGGATGTGGCAATGCCATCAGGTGAGCCAACTGTTGAGTGCAATTCAAAGCCGATTCCTCCCAAATCCTCTGCTCCAGCACCGTCTACCTCCCCTGCTCCTGCTGCTCCTGCTGCTGCTGCTGCTGCTGCTGCTCCTGCTGCTCCTGCTGCTGCTGTCCAGAGCCCATCGTCCAAGGATGACGGTAAAAAGAAGAAAGCAGAGAAAAAAGGTACTAGCTGAATTTAAATATATACATATGTAAACCTGCAGCTAACTGTTTCAGTTGGAACTGCGTTGCTGTTTCTTCTGTCCACATGAGATTGTCATTTTTGACCCTTGACCTTTATATTCTATAGTATCACACCTGCAGCTCACCTTTAAAAAAACAGTTATTGAACAGTTACTCGTTTAATAAAAGGAGAGCTCATTTACTGCAGACACCTGAGTTCTTCCACAGCCACACTGTGCCACTTTAACATGCAGCTGAGTTACCATCTCCATTTATTTATTTACGGTCTCTGATGTTAGCAGTTCAATGCATGGAATCGTCCAGTCGAATTCTTTTTTTTTTATTATTATTTTATTGTTGTTATTATTATTGCTCTGTGTCATTAAATCATGATTAGTTCCATCTGAACTGAGTTCTCTTCACTTCTTACAATCATCACTGAGGGTCTAGAGTGTGTTAACCTCGTGAAGCCCTGGTGTTGTTACTGTCTTCATGTGAATCTTAGCCCCAGGAGGATGGTTAAATATCAAAGGCTGGGATTTAGAATTTGTGTTCTTTAAAGGGTTCTCAGAGGCCTGATTAAAGACACTGTGTGTATTTGATCAGTGTAATCTTCTGGAATGAGTGTTTGTAAAAACACAAAACAGGGAAATGGTTTCTGTCTGTGTGAGGAAGAATCCGTTACTGTATGGTCACTTTCACTCAAACGTTATCTTTGGGGTTTTCTTTAGGCTCATTGAACTCTGTTTCAGATTTCTTGGGTAAATTACAAGAGTAAATAATTGTCTGTTGCTTATGTAATGGATCACTTGAAACACATGACACACCAAGCTCCTCCACTCTACCCCCCCTCGCCCCACTCCCAGAGGCCTATTATTGGTGAGCTTTGTTTTCTTTTTTTGCGGGGAAATTAAATCCAATCACAGACAGATGCACACTATTGTCTTATTGCAGCGTTTTTTTTTTCATAATTTTCCTTGAAAGAACAGCATATGGTTGAAACATTCCCTGTGTTTTGAAACACACATTTTCTATAATACCATGCACATTTGGTGTAATACCATGAAAACTGTCACAGATGCTTTGCTTAAGCAAACCTATTTTTGACGCATTAGAGTTGCTACTGTCTGACTGGCTGGGACTGGGGCTGTTGTGAAAAACAAACAAAAAAAATCTTAAACTTTTGTAACACCTTTTTTTTTTAAATAAAGTTCATTATTCATAGTAATGAATAATGTGTAACAAAAAAACTTTTGCTACTACTTTGATGGCAGGAGGAGAAAAAGCTGAGAAAAAGCCGGCAGCTCCCAGTCAGGAGGACGCCAAGGTGGACGTGTCTCGACTGGACCTGCGTATCGGACGCATCATCACAGCAGAGAAGCATCCTGACGCTGACAGTCTTTATGTGGAGCAGGTGGACGTGGGAGAGGCTTCACCCAGAACGGTGGTCAGTGGGCTGGTCAAGCACGTACCTCTGGAGCAGGTAGAGTGGCATCTGCAACGGCATTTTTATTGTTTTGGTTTTTTTTTTTTTTTTTTGGAACTTTCCACATTTTTTTCACACTGAAAATGTACCAAATCATGTCAATACCGCTGTATGTACCAACCCTGTGAGTACCCTTACCCAATCGTATCGTATTTAACAACCATAAAATGTAGAAGTCATGGTGTTGTTTATTTTATCATAATTTCTTTTTTTAACATCAGGATCATCTTCAAAATAGTTGTGAAAATGCTTCTTTTAAAAAAGTATCTTCAAAATATTTGTGAAAATGCTTCATTTAAAAAAAGTAAAAACATGTAGGTGTTTTTGTTTTTGTCTTGGACAGTATGGTATTTGTCATAGTCTTTAAAAAAAAAAATCCTGTCCTTTTTAATTTCATGTTACAATGCAACAGAAAACACATACACCAAGGGAGGGCGTAGATTTACTGTGTACTTTCTAAATCTGTGTAATTAAAGTACTTGAAAGAAATTGAGTTTAAATTTATTATCTCTGTATTTCATTAAGCATATGAGCTGTAAATCTGAGATGACCTTTATATTTATTTATTTATTTATTTATGTTGTCTCCATGCAGATGCAGAACCGCATGGCAGTCATGCTCTGTAACCTGAAGCCAGCTAAGATGAGGGGAGTGGTGTCTCAGGCCATGGTCATGTGTGCCAGCTCCCCAGACAAGGTGGAAATCCTGGATCCTCCAGGCGGTGCAGTACCTGGAGACAGAGTGACCTTCCAGGGCTTCCCAGGTACGAACAAACACAACACGTCAGCAATAGGTTAATCACCAGCTTTAATGATGATTGGTTAAAATACACCAGTACGTTAAAAGTGAGCGTTAAAAACCAAACTGTTCAAAAAAAAATCTTTTTTGTCAGTATTATGAGGCAAATATCAATTATTAAAAGGTTTTCTGAACTTTACAGCCAAATCTGATCAAGTGTTTTCAAACTCAAGCCCAGTTTACATATTTCCATATTTCCTCTCAGCTGCTCTTCTTGTGCTCAACCTGAACAAAACAAAAACAATTTTTTTTCTTTGTGGACCAAAAGCATGGATCTGGTTCGAGTACCGACCCTGAACTTCCTGCTCTTTATTCAAAATTTACACTGCACATGACTGAAGTCAGAGGTCCAAGCAAATGCTCAGCATGTTCAACTTCCTCTTCCTCCAAAAATGAATTGCTTCCCTGTTGAGAAAACAAGTTCATTCAAATATAACATACAACATGATATACAATTAAAGACACAGACTAATAAAGCAATAATAAGGAAGCTAAGTTTGAAAAACCCGATGTGGGGTTGCCTGTAAATCACATGGGGTCATCAGAAATGACTAGTAATTAATTAAAAAAAAAAAAAAGATAAAATAATAAGAAACAAGAAACTAGATGCTGCAAGAATACACACATAAATGTGCAATTGCATGATGAGGAACGAACCAGAACACTGATTTTCATCTCCAAAATTTTGTTTTTAAAAACAACACACAATTCTCAATCTTAAACAAATTTATTTATTTTTTCTGATTGTTTTTTTCTCTCAACACCATCACTGTGTCACCAACAACTCCAAAACACTCCAAAAAGCTCGTAATAATTTAAATTATCTTCTCAAACTGAGACAGTATTACAGTGTGAAAGCGGGACTGTTAGAAGTTAATGTATTGGAAAATAAGAAATAAAATATGCCTGTCTTCTTCCTGTGCTGCTCCCACTAGATCCCCGCGATAAATTAGCTACAGTCCACTCACTGCTCACTGTATATGGTTGTAATTGCCCCATTCCCTTGTGCACAAGTCACTCATCAAAAGCCCTTTCACGCTTCTGATCAAAACTGATTGTTACCACACTCGAGTTGAAAAGTGGGCTAAATTGCAGCCCTTTGGGAAATAAAACACATTTAATAATCCTCGACACAGGCCAACCAGCATGTACCATTTCAAATTAAACGCAAATGCCAAGCAACATCAAATACGAACGCATTGTTTAATGACAGCGTCCCATAGTTCCTTTTCTTTTGTGATGCTAAAAACAGTTTGCTTTGGATGTTTTGAATTACAGCTAAGAGCAAACAGCAGTGCTGGAGTGCTCTTGCCGCAACGCGTTGGAAAGTTTCATAAGGGGGGAAATAAAATGTTTCATTTTGATGAGCATAATCTCTTCGAGGATCTCACAGTTTTTATTTAATTTGTCTTATTACATAGATTGTATCAGTTTGAGAGTACATGAAAATCCTCCACTCAAAAAAAAAAAGGCTTTTAAGGACAATACACTGTGACTCAGTGAAACTTTGTTGTAGGTTTTAATATATATATATATATTATTTTATTCAAAGTTTGTCAAGTTAATCAAACATCAAGGTTTCATGAATAAAGCAGTCGGACTGTGGAGAAGATGATCAGATCAGTTCCTTCTGAATCGTCGTCTTCTAATGTCCTAATTGCAGGTGAACCGGACAAAGAGCTGAACCCGAAAAAGAAGGTCTGGGAACAGATTCAGCCAGACTTGCTCACAGACAGTCAGTGTGTCGCAACGTACAAGGGTGCTGCCTTTGAGGTCGCTGGCAAAGGAGTCTGTAAAGCACAGACCATGAGCAACAGTGGCATCAAATAAAACAGCACAGCTGCTCGAAGTATTTACCTGGACGTCACCGCGATCGGGGTCGTAGAAACAGGATGGAGAAAAAAAAAGCTGTGAATTTCAATAAAGGGATTTGAGAGTATTTTTCACGTGTGTCCTCAGAATCTGTCTGGCCCATAACAATGACTTTTTTATAAAATATTCACCCAGAGTCTATAAAGTGTGGTTATTAAAAACTATTTTTTATGCTCCGTCTAGGGAACATTATCTTGATTGTGCTTTGAGACTGAGGTTCATTGGCGTCTGCTTCAACTTGGCATTTTAATGACGAGAAGAAGACACATACGCATACGTGACACTACAGAGGCCAAGAAAAACAGATGGGACTCTGAGGTCCTTTGCAGAAGCTGTTTACAGTAGATGGCACTCGGCCTCGGCGAGTCATTCTTCTAGCCCGCTGTCGTTACCTTCATCTCGGACCATGACGCCGGAGCCATGTGCGTTGGTTTATTGTTCCCCTGAAAGAAAGAGTTCATCCATTTTCAGAAGTATCAAACTACACTGAGGAAGCAGACAGAAGCTCAGCTCTGTGCACTTGAGCAGCTTTTGTTCCGTTATGGTCCCAATTATTTTATCCCCATTTTGGAGGAACATCTGGTCAAAACCTCTGAATTATCACCATAATAACAGTTCATTCTCACGTTCTCCTCAGAATTCTCAACTGATAGGGTTAAATCGATATTTAACGGACATTTATTCATATTCAAACAAATTCTTTGCATAATTCTCTTGACATTTTTCATTATTGTTCCATCATTTGGAAAACTCACAAATAACAACAGGTGTGAAACATTGACCTTCCTGCTGTTATTTGTCTTTCTATTCTAACAATATACAGAAAAAAATTGTGATTAGTTACGATTAATCGTGACGAACTACAATTGTGGTTATTCACGATTAATCAACAGCTACCTTGAAATTAATCTGATTAAAAATGTTAACAGTTGTTTGAACTAAATCAATATAAAATATGGCTTTTAATATATGGTTTTCTTCACCTGAGTTATTGTCCGCTGTTGTTCAATAATAGGAACAGAAAAAATATGAAGGAATGTGAAATAATTTCCAAATAATAATTTCCAAATTTCAAAACTGCAGACTATTGATTCGCTGCTGCATACGAGGATGAGTCAAAAGGTTCTTAAAACAGATGGAACCATTTTAAAATGTTCCCACTTTTAATAACCAAAACGTGTTGACACGCATCTCCAAGGGCTTTGACAAATTTTAACATTATTTCTTTGTCGACCGCAGAGCTGCGTTCCGTTTGATTTAAACGTGTTTTTTTTAAACCCTTTCAACAATGAAAATCAGAGCAAACTTGAAAAGAAACCTGTAAAATCATTGGGTTTTTACTACAGGTTTTGATCTCGCTCTGTCTGATTTTATTTAGCATTTAAGACAAACAGATGAAACAAACTCAATTTTGGTCTTTAGACGAGGCAAAGGAGCAGATTGTAACCTGGTGTGAAAGACGTATCTTGGAATTCTTTGAGAAAGGAATTGTCTGATGAAAACAACACTTGTTGGGATGGAATTGTTTAGACCAGTGGTTCTCAAACTGTGGCATGCGTACCACTGGTGGTACGTGAGTGCTCTGTAGTGGTACGTGGGGAAAATTCATATTTTCACATTTGCATTTTTAATTGTTTAATTGTTTATAAAATAAATAAATAAAAATTGGCGTGTGTATTGGCGAGACTATACGTATCACGGTACAGAGGCAACGATACAATATATTGCGATTTTCTGCCATACTTTAGGTACTTGACATTGAATATTTTTGGGGCAATTCAATTAGCAAAACTGTCGGCACAGTTAACACACAACACTGTTATATCATCAGGTTACTAACAGTGGAACAGAGCGATCTGCATTTGGAATCGCAAAATAAATGAACCAACGCCATGAGGATTTGCATGTCAGTTGTTAATAAAAAACAAAAAACATTGATACAGTGCTGAAAAATATTGATAAGATATTGCGAAACAAAATATCGCCATATATCAGTTGTATCCATATTTTCTTACAACCCTCTAAAATAACTTTGATCTTTCAACATGTTCCACTATAAAGGGTCTTCAGAGGGTCTCGCAAACCCCATCTTGTCACAAGATATTATTTATTTCCATTTGAATTCTGGTCCTGCCATATTTGAGTAAGTGTGAGTGGAGATCCTGAGTGTTCCGTGATTACTTCAAGACACGTTGGGTGTTCGTAGGGTGCTGTCAGTTTGACAAATGTTAACTTGTTTGTGTGTGTGTGTGTGTGTGTGTTTTAATATTTTCAACTTTAACCTCTTCTTTTTTCTGAAGGAAAAGAAAATGATCTAGCAGTTGTTAAATCATTTCATCCTTTCATTGTGTGCAATAAAACACAAACACACTGTGAGGACGCACAGCCACATGAATGTTAAATTTGATTTGATTGTTATTGTTCTTTTTATAGGAACATTGTGAATTTATAAGTAATTGCACTGGAATTAGTCTAGAAACAAGTTTCATCTGTCGCCTGTGGTGAGGTGAAACGGACACAAAGGAAATTGTTCCCTAACAATACATAATATTTCATCAAGGACAGTTTCAGTCAGTGCTGTTTTCATATTCTTTTTATTTTTCTTGATTTTTACCAGAGTTTGGAAGAAGTTTGGAATGTCGTAATGTTCATATTTTCAGTGGAGACAATTTAGATCATGGTTGATTTGACAAATTTTTTTGTTTGAAGTTTGAAGTGTTTCTTATTGTTACCACATTCATTTATCCATTTGCTTATTTTAAAGTAATCCTACCTAAATAATTTCCATCCCTGAACAGTTCTGTAGCAGAAAAGATCCCAGTTTGGTTTTTTGGGGTTTTGTTTATGTCAGGTAACAGATTATGATGTGGATTACAGCTAGATTATATGACAAGAATAAGTAACTTTATGTCGTGATGAAATAGAGCTGTCAAAGTCAACATTTTATGTTTAAATATTTCAGGGTATCTGTAATTTAATAAGGATTAAATCTGTTTGTTTTGGGGGGTTTTCCATTTAAAAAAGAAAACTTTTACTGCTCTTGTCCTCAGAAATAACTAATTGTTCTACGGTCCCTTAAGTCTCACCTGTTGTCGAAGCCTCAACAAATCCACACTCACTGCTGAAGTTGAAATTTAAAGCTCAAATAGTAGAACAGAACATCAATTTTAGAATTAAAGTGTGTCCAAACATTTACGTTATTTGGAGTATTTGTCATTGACCATTTCAGAGACGCTGTTTTAGAATAACATGCTCCAGCCGCTTCCTTTGTATCTGAGTTGTTTTGTTTTTCTTTTCAAAGTAGTTTTGTGGAATTTCACTTATGTCTCTGGTTTCCTTTGTGTTGCCTGATTAGTTTGGTTATATTCAAGAGAGGTCATAGCAATTACGCAGATGTGACGACAGCACGGGCTGATGTTCTGTGGGAGTAAATGTGTTATTGAATAAATATTCTTTATTGACAGAAAATGTGGGGAAATAAATAGCACATTGATCAACACGGGCTGATAGAAAACAAGTGTTTTCAAGTGTCTTGACTGAATCCATGATACGCAGAATGGATTTCCAACAGCAGGGAAGGTTACATAATGTTGTTCGTGGTGAGCGCTGTTGAAGCATGAAACCACACACAGAGAGGAACGCCGGGCATGTTCTTTTAACTACGGCCAGAATGTGTTCACAGGGTTTTAGTCTTTTCTTCTTTGCACTCTGCAGGTGTTTCCACCCCCAAACATGTGTCCGCCCATCAACAACCCTGTACATGATCTGATTTGTCGGGTGATTGTTTATCGCTGACCTGATCCAAAGTCTGATTTAAATTAAGATTCCAGGGGAGTTTGTGTCTGCAGCCACTACAACACTTGTAAATGTATACGGTTTACGAAGGATGTTTAATACCTAACTATTAGAGCCAACTGCTTGATCTGACTATTTGTCAAATCTCTTCATACTATCTGTGCTTAAATTGGCACTGTTCCTTTACAAGAGTCGTCCTGTTGCAGATGTGAGAAAACACCTGCAGATCTGTCTGGAGTTAGACATGTTCCTGCAGCTATTTGGATTTTATGTGATCGATGACTTTTATGTCGAGACCACATTTTTATTGCGTTTGGGAACAAAGTGTTCCTACTCGAGCATCCTTAGCAAACATAAAACCTTTATTTTTGTCCTGGTCCTTTTTGTTCTTGGGGCATTCTTTTTTTTTTTTTTCTTTTTTTTTTTACATTTTTGGTATTTATATGTTATATTTGAGCCTTTTTTGCTAACTGTTGGCTAAGTTTTAAGGGTTCTCTGAGTAAAAAAAAAAGAATGTCAGGAATATTAAGAGGTATGGCAGTGGATTCTGGCCTTGAAGGTTTAAGGTTCGAGTCCACCAGCTGCCAAGTTACCCTCAGTGGGGCTCTGAGCACACACTGCTCCCTGGGCGCTTAAAGCTGCCCACTGTTCACTTTGGGTTAAAAGAGGTCACATTTGGTTGTGACCAACCAATGACAGATAGTTCAGTAAAAATAAACCTGGGTCATCTCTGGATTTAGCACATCGATCAGCATTTCAATGTACGCAAATGTGATCAAGTTCAGCACACATGTAATTCGAGTATTTTTATTTTCAATTTCCAAATCTGAGCTACAAGGAATTAATCACCAAGGTGTTTCATATTCATTTTTTAAAACCTGGAGGAAGTGGGAGTCAAATGTAACTAACAGCCAATGATCGGTGTCATTAGACCTCAGAGACACCACAGGAGGGCAGAGCCCCACCATTGAAACATCATCACTGCCACACAAAAAACCCCCGGCATCAAACTGTCAAGTGAGCCGACCTTTACCGTGTGATGCAATCATCTTTTTCCTCTGCTGACATTCACTCCAGTTTGAAATGACAGAAGGAAATTCCTGCTCGTATGGATTTATTTTTTCCTGGAGCAGCATGTAAACGGATGAGAAGAAGGAAGTATTACATGACTGTATATTTATCCTTCTGAGAAAAATGCTTTGTTTGTGCTTATCTGATCCTCCGGTGATACTGATCCATACATGAAATCTTTCTTCTCTTATCAGCGATGAA